TCATCTTCTCTTTCTTAATCTTTATTTATATCCATCGAGGCTTGAGCCTGTGTGCTTCTTTCTTGGTACGCATTGCGGGGGGAGGCGCTGCGCCCTCCCCCCTGCCACCCCCCCACCTGCTTTTATTTTTTCATGAGCTTCCCTTGCTACCTACTCTATTTCTTTTTTTTTTCGCAAGCATCGTTTATTTATTTTTTTTTGTATAATCAATATGTTCATTCTTGCTGCTACAACTACCATTACTACTATTACTACTACTACTACTGCTACTACTACTGCTACTACTGCTACTACTACTACTACTACTACTACTACCATTACTACTACCATTACCACTACTAGTACCGTTACTACTACTACTGCTACTACTGCTACTACTACTGCTACTACTGCTACTACTACTGCTACTACTGCTGCTACTACTACTACTACTACCATTACTACCATTACTACTACTACTACTACCACTACTACTACTGCTACTACTACTACTACTACTAGTACTACTACTACTACTACCATTACTATTACCATTACTACTACTACTACCACTACTACTACTACTACTGCTACTACTACTACTACTACATTTTTTGTTTTCTTTTTGATCCTTATTTGTTTTTTTTTTGATCCCTTATTTTTTGTTCTTTTTTTGATCCTTATTCGTTTTTTTTGATCCTCTAGCCCATACATACATACATACATGCATACATACATACATAGATACATAGATACATAGATACATAGATACATAGATACATAGATACATAGATACATAGATACATAGATACATAGATACATAGATACATAGATACATCGATACATCGATACATCGATACATCGATACATCGATACATAGATACATAGATACATAGATACATAGATACATAGATACATAGATACATAGATACATAGATACATAGATACATACATACATACATACATACATACATACATTATTTTTTTTAATCATGATATACTACATTTTTTTTTCTCTCTCTCTCTCTCACTTTCTCTTTATGTGTAATGGAACAAGTCATTGACGTGTTGTTTAGGAGTTGAAGGCCAGTTTTCTTGTCCCTTGGCTTGTCCAGGTACGAGCCGTGAGCGGAAGCTGCTTGGGCATCATGGAGCTGCCGGTTACCAGCACCGTCGCAGATGTGAAGGCACAGCACCGGGTGCTACGGTTCAGTTAAAGCTTAGCGGCTTGGACAGGACTGAAAGCATGGCCAAAAAGAAGCTGCGTTGCTTAGTATTGTTGACAGATTTTATATGAGTTTACCAATGTTTGAGAGAAGCCATGCAGGCCCGGCTTGAAGGCATTGCTGGACGATATGATTTAGCCTCAGCAAGAGGTGGGAGCGGGCCATTCTGCGAAGCTGGAGAGTTACTCAATAAATTAGCCTAGAGTGGGGATAGGGTTGCCCGATATGATTTTTCAAATTCATCCCATTGATGGGCTCGAAAAGAAGAGATCCACGGCATTAATATGTCATCTCTCCGCTTGCACGACAGTCATCGAACTTCTAGATGAGAATGTTGGCAAGTATCTCGAAGCTTCAAAAGCAGCTCTAGATCTGAGACGATCTGAGATCCGCCTTTTGAACATGAAAAGTCACATCAGCCGCATCAGTGTAACTGACCAAACCTATGTTTGTAGCTGAGCTGACCTGAGGCGACAAGCTGATAGCTGACAGCACAGAGTTGTCGGAACTCACCGAGCCTGGACAGCCCATTGTGCTGTGCCTCATCCGGCGGCGAATGGGATTTGTCTACACGGCTTCCAATGTGGATGGGTGCCTTGCTGCATTTTGAGGCAAACGTGAGTGCTTTTTAGATGACATGGGATGCCCTGGGATGGCAATGCCGCGGCAATGCCTGATGCTTTTAGGGTTTATATATTGAATCATTTCGACATCTCTTGACAGTAATTTGATCCCCAAATGATGGATAGAGGTGAGTTGTAGCTCGCCAGAGAATGCAAGGTCCTTGACTCTTTGGGACCTAGCAAGAAGGGAAGTGGTCCACCGTGGGGGGTCTCAAAACGGGATGGGGGGCAAGCTCACAGACCATGGATGACAATGATCTTGCTTGGATTTTGCTGTTTGAAGTTTTAATGGGAACATCATCTTATAAATCTATAAACATGGGGGATTTTCCATTGCAATGTTTGATCACCGGAGGGTATATACAATAGTTGCATGACTTCTATTCTTGCACCTTACTTGCATTTGATAGACAGTTGTTTAACAGAGACTTCCTTTATCGTACTGTATGATATCTCTGCCGCGAAACTATGAAGATTAGATGAAATCAGTATGTCGAGCATCAGGTTCAGGAAAATACATGAAACATATTCCCTGCGCCCGAACTCAGGCTTGCAATGCTCCTTATGCCAGCCGCAGTGTCCCATCTGCTTGTTCGCTGATTGGGAGCAGCAGCGAGTGCTCTGCTGCCTCGAGGTGCGCTGTCTGAATGGTTTCAGGTCTGGTAGGCCGTCTAGCCATGAGGGAGTCAATTCAACTGGTGCTGGCAGTGCTGGCAGGTGTGTATTGTAGCTTTGATCTTTGTCGTTTTTGGTCCAGTCTCACACACTAGTGACTTGAGACGAATGTCGAAACAAAATCTTTTTGGCATTTTTTGGCACTCCATTCCAACTCCTCCTAGATTCATGTCGTTTTTTTTTTTCATAAATAAGGCTTCATCACCACTTTGGCTTAGCGGCTTCATTCATATTATGTATATACATACATTGCATTACAGTACAGTACATACATTACAGTACAGTACAGTATAGTACAGTACAGCATAGAAAAGTACAGTACAGTATAGTACAGTACAGAACAGTATAGTCGTCTAGTATAGTACAGTACAGTATAGTACAGTATAGTACAGTACAGTATATATATAGTACAGTACAGTATAGTATAGTATAGTACAGTGCCTACATTGCATTACATTACAATACAGTACAGTATAGTATAGTACAGTACATACATTACATTACATCGCATAACATTACATTCCATTACATTACAGTATAGGATAGTATAGTACAGTACATACATTACATTACATTGCATTGCATTACATTGCATTACAGTACAGTACAGTATAGTATAGTACGGTATGGTACAGTACATAGATTACATTACATTACATTGCATTACATTGCATTACAGTGGATTACGTTGCATTACATTGCATTACATTGCATTACATTGCATTACATTGCATTACATTGCATTACATTGCATTACATGGCATTACATTGCATTACATTGCATTAATTATATTGCATTACATTGCATTACATTGCATTACATTGCATTACATTGCATTACATTGCATTACAATTCATTGCATTACATTACAGTACAGTATAGTATAGTACAGTACATACATTACATTACATTGCATTTCATTACATTGCATTACATTACAGTATAGTATAGTATGGTACAGTACATAGATTACATTACATTACATTGCATTACATTACATTACATTGCGTTACATTACATTGCATTACATTACAGTATAGTATAGTACAGTACACACAATACATTACATTACATTGCATTACATTACAGTACAGTCTAGTACAGTATAGTATAGTACAGTACATACATTACATTGCATCGCATAACATTATATTCCATTACATTACAGTATAGTATAGTATATTATAGTACATACATTACATTACATTGCATTGCATTCCATTACAGTACAGTACAGTATAGTATAGTATAGTATGGTACAGTACATAGATTATATTACATTACATTGCATTACATTGCATTACATTGCATTACATTTTGATTACATTGCATTACATTGCATTACATTGCATTACATTGGATTACATCACATTACAGTACAGTACAGTATAATATAGTACAGTACAGTACATACATTACATTACATTGCATTACATTGCTTTGCATTACATTGCAATATATTAAAGGGCTACGCCCTCTGCCGCCGACCCCTGGACACTGGAGGGTCATGCCTGCCTCTGTGTCGTAAGCATGAAATGAACCCTAAAGAAACCAGAAACTGACCTAAACAAACCATTTGTATGTGCGTTTGGCACTGTGCACATGCAAGCAGCCTGGACCCCTGCAGGATGACACGCACAACTATGTGCTCTGACACTTTTTCATGGCTCAAGAAATAGGAGCTTTCGTCATTGGGCAGGTGTCTTGGGGACCTAAAGGGTTGCTCTAGCACTTAAGACCCGTACCCGAAGCCCCCGTTCGTAACCGCAGTATGAAACTTGAAATGGCATCCTAAAGAGACCCGAGACGACACTGCACTGCCAACTGCCACCCTGCTCGTGTCCTCCTGGAGCCGGCTTTCGTTCTGCACAGCTTCGGTCCAAGCTGGAGTCCAAGGACCGTGTCGCAGGGCTAAAACACCAGGGCAGTGAAGGACGGATTGGGCCCGCGGCCCGTATCCTAGACTGCCAAACGTCACTTTCTGAACCGACTAGAAACTAGCTCCAAACCATTCCAAACCTTGACTTTTCCTGCGTTTCTGCACTGCCAACTGCCACCCTGCGCGTGTCCTCCTGGAGCCGGCTTTCGTTCTGCGGCTCCAAACCTTGACTTTACCTGCATTTCTGCACTGCCAACTGCCACCCTGCTCGTGTCCTCCTGGAGCCGGCTTTCGTTCTGCACCGCTTCGGTCCAAGCTGGAGTCCAAGGACCGTGTCGCAGGGCTAAAACACCATGGCAGTGAAGGACGGATTGGGCCCGCGGCCCGTATCCAGACTGCCAAACGTCACTTTCTGAACCGACTAGAAACTAGCTCCAAACCTTGACTTTTCCTGCGTTTCTGCACTGCCAACTGCCACCCTGCTCGTGTCCTCCTGGAGCCGGCTTTCGTTCTGCACCGCTTCGGTCCAAGCTGGAGTCCAAGGACCGTGTCGCAGGGCTAAAACACCATGGCAGTGAAGGACCCCAGACTGCCAAACGTCACTTTCTGAACCGACTAGAAACTAGCTCCAAACCTTGACTTTTCCTGCGTTTCTGCACTGCCAACTGCCACCCTGCTCGTGTCCTCCTGGAGCCGGCTTTCGTTCTGCACCGCTTCGGTCCAAGCTGGAGTCCAAGGACCGTGTCGCAGGGCTAAAACACCATGGCAGTGAAGGACGGATTGGGCCCGCGGCCCGTATCCCAGACTGCCAAACGTCACTTTCTGAACCGACTAGAAACTAGCTCCAAACCTTGACTTTTCCTGCGTTTCTGCATTGCCAACTGCCACCCTGCTCGTGTCCTCCTGGAGCCGGCTTTCGTTCTGCGGCCCGTAGCCCAGAGTGCCAAACGTTCCTTTCTGAACCGACTAGAAACTAGCTCCAAACCTTGACTTTACCTGCGTTTCTGCACTGCCAACTGCCACCCTGCTCGTGTCCTCCTGGCGCCGGCTTTCGTTCTGCACCGCTTTGGTCCAAGCTGGAGTCCAAGAACCGTGTCGCAGGGCTAAAACACCATGGCAGTGAAGGACGGATTGGGCCCGCGGCCCGTAGCCCAGAGTGCCAAACGTTACTTTCTGAACCGACTAGAAACTAGCTCCAAACCTTGACTTTTCCTGCGTTTCTGCACTGCCAACTGCCACCCTGCTCGTGTCCTCCTGGAGCCGGCCTTTGTTTCTTTCTGCAGCCGCTTCGGTCGGTCCAAGCTGAGTCCAAGACCCCGTGTTGGCAAGGCCTAAAACACCATGGGTCAGAAAAGCACGGATTTTGTGGCTCCCGCGGCCCTATCCCAGACCTGCCAAACGCAACGTTTCTGAACCGAAACTAGAAAACTAGCTCCAACCTTGCTTTTCCTTTCCTCTGCGTGTTTCTTTCTGCATTGCCAACTGCCACCCTGCTCGTGTCCTCCTGGAGCCGGCTTTCGTTCTGCACCGCTTCGGTCCAGTCCAAGCTGGAGTCCAAGGACCGTGTCGCAGGGCTAAAACACCATGGCAGTGAAGGACGGATTGGGCCTGCGGCCCGTATCCCAGACTGCCAAACGTCACTTTCTGAACCGACTAGAAGCTAGCTCCAAACCTTGACTTTTCCTGCGTTTCTGCACTGCCAACTGCCACCCTGCTCGTGTCCTCCTGGAGCCGGCCTTCGTTCTGCACCGCTTCGGTCCAAGCTGGAGTCCAAGGACCGTGTGGCAGGGCTAAAACACCATGGCAGTGAAGGATGGATTGGGCCCGCGGCCCGTATCCCAGACTGCCAAACGTCACTTTCTGAACCGACTAGAAACTAGCTCCAAACCTTGACTTTTCCTGCGTTTCTGCACTGCCAACTGTCACCCTGCTCGTGTCCTCCTGGAGCCGGCTTTCGTTCTGCGGCTCCAAACCTTGACTTTACCTGCGTTTCTGCACTGCCAACTGCCACCCTGCTCGTGTCGTCCTGGAGCCGGCTTTCGTTCTGCACCGCTTCGGTCTAAGCTGGAGTCCAAGGACCGTGTCGCAGGGCTAAAAAACACCATGGCAGTGAAGGACGGATTGTGTCCCGCGGCCCGTATCCCAGACTGCCAAACGTCACTTTCTGAACCGACTAGAAACTAGCTCCAAACCTTGACTTTTCCTGCGTTTCTGCACTGCCAACTGCCACCCTGCTCGTGTCCTCCTGGAGCCGGCTTTCGTTCTGCACCGCTTCGGTCCAAGCTGGAGTCCAAGGACCGTGTCGCAGGGCTAAAACACCATGGCAGTGAAGGACGGATTGGGCCCGCGGCCCGTATCCCAGACTGCCAAACGTCACTTTCTGAACCGACTAGAAACTAGCTCCAAACCTTGACTTTTCCTGCGTTTCTGCACTGCCAACTGCCACCCTGCTCGTGTCCTCCTGGAGCCGGCGGCTTTCGTTCTGCACCGCTTCGGTGCAAGCTGGAGTCCAAGGACCGTGTCGCAGGGCTAAAACACCATGGCAGTGAAGGACGGATTGGGCCCGCGGCCCGTATCCCAGACTGCCAAACGTCACTTTCTGAACCGACTAGAAACTAGCTCCAAACCTTGACTTTTCCTGCGTTTCTGCACTGCCAACTGCCACCCTGCTCGTGTCCTCCTGGAGCCGGCTTTCGTTCTGCACCGCTTCGGTCCAAGCTGGAGTCCAAGGACCGTGTCGCAGGGCTAAAACACCATGGCAGTGAAGGACGGATTGGGCCCGCGGCCCGTATCCTAGACTGCCAAACGTCACTTTCCGAACCGACTAGAAACTAGCTCCAAACCTTGACTTTTCCTGCGTTTCTGCACTGCCAACTGCCACCCTGCTCGTGTCCTCCTGGAGCCGGCTTTCGTTCTGCGGCTCCAAACCTTGACTTTACCTGCGTTTCTGCACTGCCAACTGCCACCCTGCTCGTGTCCTCCTGGAGCCGGCTTTCGTTCGCACCGCTTCGGTCTAAGCTGGAGTCCAAGGACCGTGTCGCAGGGCTAAAACACCATGGCAGTGAAGGACGGATTGGGCCTGCGGCCCGTATCCCAGACTGCCAAACGTCACTTTCTGAACCAACTAGAAATAAGCTCCAAACCTTGACTTTTCCTGCGTTTCTGCACTGCCAACTGCCACCCTGCTCGTGTCCTCCTGGAGCCGGCTTTCGTTCTGCACCGCTTCGGTCCAAGCTGGAGTCCAAGGACCGTGTCGCAGGGCTAAAACACCATGGCAGTGAAGGACGGATTGGGCCCGCGGCCCGTATCCCAGACTGCCAAACGTCACTTTCTGAACCGACTAGAAACCAGCTCCAAACCTTGACTTTTCCTGCGTTTCTGCACTGCCAACTGCCACCCTGCTCGTGTCCTCCTGGAGCCGGCTTTCGTTCTGCGGCCCGTAGCCCAGAGTGCCAAACGTTACTTTCTGAACCGATTAGAAACTAGCTCCAAACCTTGACTTTTCCTGCGTTTCTGCATTGCCAACTGCCACCCTGCTCGTGTCCTCCTGGAGCCGGCTTTCGTTCTGCACCGCTTCGGTCCAAGCTGGAGTCCAAGGACCGTGTCGCAGGGCTAAAACACCATGGCAGTGAAGGACGGATTGGGCCCGCGGCCCGTATCCCAGACTGCCAAACGTCACTTTCTGAACCGACTAGAAACTAGCTCCAAACCTTGACTTTTCCTGCGTTTCTGCACTGCCAACTGCCACCCTGCTCGTGTCCTCCTGGAGCCGGCTTTCGTTCTGCACCGCTTCGGTCCAAGCTGGAGTCCAAGGACCGTGTCGCAGGGCTAAAACACCATGGCAGTGAAGGACGGATTGGGCCCGCGGCCCGTATCCCAGACTGCCAAACGTCACTTTCTGAACCGACTAGAAACTAGCTCCAAACCTTGACTTTTCCTGCGTTTCTGCACTGCCAACTGCCACCCTGCTCGTGTCCTCCTGGAGCCGGCCTTCGTTCTGCACCGCTTCGGTCCAAGCTGGAGTCCAAGGACCGTGTCGCAGGGCTAAAACACCATGGCAGTGAAGGACGGATTGGGCCCGCGGCCCGTATCCCAGACTGCCAAACGTCACTTTCTGAACCGACTAGAAACTAGCTCCAAACCTTGACTTTTCCTGCGTTTCTGCACTGCCAACTGCCACCCTGCTCGTGTCCTCCTGGAGCCGGCTTTCGTTCTGCACCGCTTCGGTCCAAGCTGGAGTCCAAGGACCGTGTCGCAGGGCTAAAACACCATGGCAGTGAAGGACGGATTGGGCCCGCGGCCCGTATCCCAGACTGCCAAACGTCACTTTCTGAACCGACTAGAAACTAGCTCCAAACCTTGACTTTTCCTGCGTTTCTACACTGCCAACTGCCACCCTGCTCGTGTCCTCCTGGAGCCGGCTTTCGTTCTGCGCAAACTCTTCGCCCCTTCTGGCATCTTGTTGCTAGTAAGGCCTCCTCTGACGCGCTCCCCCTGCTGACGGCAGGGGTCGGCGGATTACATTACATTGCGTTACATTACATTGCATTACATTGCATTGCATTATATTACAGTACAGTATAGTATAGTACAGTACATACAATACATTACATTACATTGCATTACATTACAGTACAGTATAGTACAGTATAGTATAGTACAGTACATGCATTACATTGCACTACATTACATTGCATTACATTACATTGCATTGCATTACATTGGATTACATCACATTACAGTACAGTATAGTATAGTATAGTACAGTACATACACTACATTACATTACATTCCATTACATTGCATTGCATTGGATTACATTACATTACATTGCATTACATTACATGCACATTTTTTTTGTGCATATTTTTATTTTTACTTTTCATATCCCTCTGTTTGTAATCATTTTCCTCTCAGCACTTTCCTCAGGATGGCACCTTGTACCTTTGGGGACGGACCAGTGAGACCGATGAGTCGCTTCATCTACTGCGCGTGATGCAGGACCTGGTGAATGCTTGTACCCCGATCCCAACCCGCCCTCAAGGGCCTTGACCAAGATGGACCCAGATGGAGCAAGTTGGTAGTTAATATAGTTGTTACAATAGTTGGGAGTTAGTTGGGAGTTAGTTGGGAGTTAGTTGGGAAAAAAATGGTAAAATGGGGGTTTCAGGGCGTGTATGTTGGTATGTTGCTTGTTATGATTTTGTGTTGGGGTTCAATGTTTCATCCTTGGTTTTGATGATTTTTCAGGTGGGGTTTTGGGGGTCATTTTGATGCTAAAGTGATGTGTCAATGTTTGGTTCAGATGAGGGTAGGATTGGTTTAGGCTGTTGGGGTTTGTGTTTTGGTTCAGATGAGGGAGATACTGTGGATAGTGTACTTGTGGCTGTCGTTTTTTTATTGTCAAGGTATGTCTTGTCTTTTTTTGGGTATGATTTTATTGTGTTTCCTTATCATCAGTTTCAAGACAGAACATTCAACTTGATATCTTTCAAAAGGTTCCATGTCTTTCAACATCTTTCATTTTTTATTCTCTCATTCTCGTCTTTTTTGGTGGCGTTTTTTTCTTGGTTGTGTTTTGATTTGAACGTCTTTCGCTTCGCCTCATTTTTTGCGGACTTCTTCATGGACTTTCTGGATTTCGTCGGGGGCGCCCAGATGAGATGTGCGCGCTGTTTCGTTTGCATGGAAGCATCACTTTTGAGGACATATTGCGTTTCTTGAGGCACTATGTACACTCTATGTACACATTGTGGCATTACACTACACCCAGAGATGTTGAGTGCTTTCTCCCGCAGCAGACAGGCTCACAAATGCTCACAAGATAAGATGAGTTCTACTTGCGGCATGTGTTGCACTATGAACAAGTCAACGCATCAAGAAATCGTAAAGTGCTTGAGCTCCAGCACAGTCCCAGTTCTGGAGATTTCCGCCATGGGTATGTCGCGTTGCCTCATTGCCCGATGTTGTGGTTTTCGGCTTCTCATGTCAGGCCGACGAAACCACCGTTGCTTCTCAAACAACGCTCCAGAGAAGGAGCCGACCACGAAACAGCAGATTGGAAAGTGGTTGGTTGGTGGTGGTGGCTCGTTGGCCATCGTGACCTTTGGATGGGATATGTGGCGGCATCGTCAAGAACAAGAGCGAGTGAAGAATATCATTGTGAATGCCTCTTTCAAAGCACGCGAGCCACGTGTCAAGATTGAACGGAAGATAATCAAGGCGTCCAAGCACCACCTTTTTTTTTTGTGTTTGTCCCTGCGTTTCTTGACAGAAGGGATTTGTTCTTGAGATAGGTGTTATTTCATGTCATACTGACATTTTGAATTTGATGCACTATGCTCACTATGCACTGTGGCAGGACGAAATGCACCAGTTGTTGGACTTGGACGACCCCCGCCCAATCCTCATCTGGGGGAACCATGAAGTTGGCAAGAGCACCATCCTTTGGGAAGTGTTGCAGGAGAAACAGTGGAACAATGGAGTGCTCCACATCAAGCTCATGCAGAACAACGACTTGGCCAAGGACGCATTGAGGAGCAGGTTGGCAGTGCTCCATGAAGAGGAGGTGGTGCGTGGCTTGAGAGATGCCAAGACAAGAATGGGACGGCAACCCATCATCATCCTTGAAGTTCCTCGTGGTGTCTTTAATCCAGATGTGATGAGCAGCGTCTCCGCCTTTGCAAAGTCATGGGGCTTTGATGACACGGTCGCCAAAGTGCTGGTGATGGTCAGTTCTGCAGTGTCAGCCATGGCTTTTGACGCAGACGGTCGTGAGCGCCGATTCTTCGTTCCACCACTGACGAGTGAAGAGCTCTCGCAGAAGGAGGCCATAATGAAGAGCTTCAGTTCATGTGGTAATTGTTCAGTCACCTTCAATCACTTTAGTGCTTTTTGTTGGTGCTACTTCTGGCATGGGTTGGGATGTTTGCAGATGGACGTCTCCTTGTCAGGTTGAGGAATTCCTACGTCATCATGGCGGTGAAGAGGCCTCCACGCACAAGAGCGACATGATTCAACTCACAGGTGGCAACATCGGTGTAATGGAGGACAAGGGTCATGAAACCATGGGACAACAACCCGAAACATCAACGAACGTTGAAACCTTGAAACTTGCCCACATCTCCTGCAGGACGTGGCGCAAAATGCCAAAGAGACATCATGGGAAGAAGCAAAGTCCAAACGGCTTGCGGTGCAAAGAAGTCAGGTCCAGAAGTTCTTGGGCATTGACAACCAAGGTGGCTTTGGCCCAGAAAAGGTGAGGATGGCACGCACCTTGGCCAAGGCCGTGGCGCATAGCTCCTTCGAGCAGTGTGTTGATGCTGAGAGGTTCATGAAGCACTTCACGCCTGCGGACGTGGCGAGAGCGGTGCGGAACCGAAGCGCTCATTGCATCTATGTGGATGCGCGGGCAGAGGAGCGACGCTACTGCGCAGTTTCTCGCACAGTGCATGACCTTTTGAAGAAGGTCTGAAGGCGGAAGTGGCAGTGGCGTGTGAATGAGAGTGCTTTGTTCCTTGTAGGACCAGTAGGACTTTTGGATTGCAGGTCGGGTGCAATCCGTTATGCACTGAAGGTGCCATTCGTGATTCATGGATGGTGCAATCCGCATTGCATCCAACCAGACTGGCAAAACACAGAAAGGTGATGATTTTTATTGGGGTTGCACCTACCCTTCAATCCGGGATGCACTCTATCTGCACTGCACAATTGACCGGTGGGACAGACCGCACAGTGTTCCAAGACTGGATGAGCAAAAGTGAAATGAAACGGCAGAGATTGAATAAACCATCTTCATTTTTTCAACGAATGCGAGTGATGGCGGGTTCAAATGTTATTGCTGAAATTCCTGACTTAAACCGCTATGAAGCAATGATGGATATTTTACAAGATGACGGTTCAAGAAACTATACTGACAATCTTGGTTTTGGCGAGACCTTTTACAATGAAGGAAACCGATTTTTGACATATACGCAGTTGGCAACGAACCCAGTTTCAAACACAGTTCAGAATGTCATTGACCAAGCGAAATCTGACAATTTCGGAGGATTTAAACACAAAAAGACCGTTTATTACCGACCTTCTTGTCCCTTCTTCAATGTATCAAACTTCATTCCTTTATCATACTGTCCGATTGTCATTGAACTAACTTTGGTCAGTGATGCTAATGAACCCCTCGTTAATTTAAGTGGTGATTTTACCACAACGAATACTTCGTTCTTGTGGAACATAGAGCAACCCATCATCACCTGTGATATTCACCGACTTGATGATGGTTTATTTGCGGAGTATGCTGAAATTTTGGAAAAGCAATCTTTACCTATAACCTTCAACAGTGTTTCAGTTCAAACTCAAACAACAAGCAGAAGCACCGACATCTTCACGACCATAGTTAGAAATGTAAGTAAGGCTGACAACATCTTCATATCTTTCTATTCAAATTTTGGTTATAAGGGTGGTTTCCAAGAAGTGTTGAAACCTCATAATCTTCTTTATCATCCCCTTTCGTGGGAAAGCGGAACATCCATTGCTCAAAGATACTATGAAAACATTGATTTGTCCTTTCAGTTGAGTATTGGTAATACCGTCATACCCGAAATGCCAACGATGGGGGTTGCTGACAACTACAAGCATCTACAAGAAACACGAAACAATCACGTTTCCATAAAACCTCATATGTATAGGACGAATTCCTTTTTAGCGGGGTTCAACCTCAAGAAACTCAACAGTGCCAATTACACTGGACTGAATTTGAAGAACAATTCAAATATGGTTGTCCGTGTAAAGCCTCTGTATGGAACAGACCTATATACAACAGACAACGGGACTGATACTGGACTGATGCCTGACAAAATGTATATCGTTATTGAACACGAATGTATCTTGGAGATAAAAGCCCAATCTGTCATTTTCTATGACTAAAAAAAGATAGGGGATAATTAATAAAATTATAATGAATAATTTTATTAATTATTTTGATTTTAATTTTGGATAGATGATTGACTTGTAAAGTTCCTTCGCTTCCTTTAGATGTTGTTTCTTTTCCTCTCCCTTGCTTGATTTCCATTTACCATATACCTCTTGAAACCTTTGATAGTCTCCTGTGTCTATGCTTTTGCTGTTGTTCATCTCTTCAAACTTCTCTCTTATCACTTGTATTCCTACCTTGCTTGGTGATATTGCCTTGTTCATTGCTGGTTTCCTGACTGGTGCTTTTGATGAAGATGACGCCCCTGTTTCTTCCTGTGCTGTCTCTGCTTCATCTACATTGGGTGTCTTGTTGTCTTTGGGGATGTTGATTGTTGCTCCTAATGCTTGTGGTTGTGGTTGCTTTCCTCTTACTCTTCTTGCTTTGGGTGGTTTGGTGGTTGTGGATGGGTCTTCCTGAAATTCTCTCTTCTCCTGCGTTGGCGGTTTTGGTTTCTGCCTCTTTGCTTTGGACTGTCTCACGCTTAAGGGTTTCCTCTTTTCTGCTGTTGGTATTGCTGTTGTGTCCATTGCTTCTGCGGTGTCGGGCACTACATCTACATTCATCTTTGATTTTTCCTCCTTTAATTTCTTTTGGTGATTTACCTTTTTGACTTGTTTGTTGATTAGTTTTTGTGTTGGTTTTATCTTGGACGGTTTCTCTTCCTCGTCTTCGTCGGGTATGATGGTGTCTGTCAGTTTTGATGCTATTAGTCCTCCTATTGACCCTCCCTTTGCTGTTCCTCCTGCTGTGGCGACTGCTTTGATGACTGGTTTGGATGATTTAAGGAAGTTCTTTAAGATGCTTCTACTGCTTGAAGGCGGTTCTTCGTCTTCTTGTATCCCTGCCGATGCTGTTGCTCCAACGGCGTCGTATGTTCCTTTGTTTGCCATATAGTGGTCTTGTGAATGACTTAAATTTGCCTGTTCTGCTACTCTCCTTTCGTTCTCTTCCCTCAACTCTGCCTCTCTGTCAAAGGACATCTCAAAGTCGCTGATGGCGTCGTCCCTCAAGTCGGTCATATCTTCAAAGTCAAGGTTGGGTGTTTCTTCTTCCTTCCTTGCGGTCGCTTCCTCTGCCATCTTTTTGAAGTTCATTTGCTGTAAGTCTGCTGGGTGGATGTTGTTTGTGTTCAGTGCTTGACCCTGCGGACTTTCGTGAAAATACCAAGCGTTCCTATCAAAGATTTTTCTGATGTCATTGGTTTTGAACTTTTCCCTGTCTATTTCCTTGATGAGTTCCGCGTAAGTGGGTATTCGTGTCAATCCCTGTTTTGCGTTGATTACTTCTGCTGTCATTGCTATATATTAATACTTTAGATTTTTATATTAATCTTGTGTATCGCCTCTCAACCACTGATTATACTCATCAATTCTCTGTTTCATATTCTGGACGTTCGCCCTGTAATCTTCCAATCTGTGATTTTTCCTCACCTCCCTCAACCTTGTCATTTCGTTCTGTAGCATCTCATTCTCTTCCTTCATCCTCTGCTTTACTTGTAAGACCTTGTAGTCGTGCTCGGTGTTGTGATATTCAAGAAGACGCTTTAGGTAAAGATGATGGTTGTGAGTTGGCATCCTTGCCGTGTTGCTGTCGTTGTGGTAGTAGTGGTCATAACTACTATACACTTTTTTTCTTCTGTCTGGCATTTCGGGCGTTCCGCTCCTGTAGTTGGCACTTTTGTTTGAATGGACGGTTTGTCTTCTGTTGATGTCCTTGCGGACGTTTTCGTAGATGTCAGTTTTGTTGAGTTCCGTTTTCTGTTCCTTGATGTTCATTTTTATATATAATACTTTATAAAATTTTTGATGCTAAAGATTTCAATTTCTCTCTCGTCGCTTTGTTCTTTTCCTCTTTGGCTTTGTTGTAGGTGTCTCTGGCGGTCATTGCACTCTGTAGTTCTTCCTTCAGTTGCTTTACAAGGTCGTTTTTGAATGCTTCTGGGTCAAAAGGTGGTTTCGCCCTTGACGGTCTTACCCTTTTGGGCTTTGGGACTACCGTTGCTTGTTGCGGTTTCTCTTGAACTGGTGTTTCAATTATTTCTTCTGGTTTCTCCTCTTCCTTCGGTGCTTCTTCCTGTATTGGTTCTGGTATTGTTTCTTCCTTTGGTTCTTCATTATCAATCTCTTTTACGACTACCTCTGTCATATATTAATATTATAGATATTTTTTTTTATACTTTCAAAATCTCGTGCCTCAAATACGGTTTGTTCAATCCTTCCAGTTTGAAGGTTCTGTTTCCGACGTCGTCGTATTCTATCTTGACGATTTTGTAGGATTGATTGCTCCACTTTGAGTTATACTCCTTCCTCTCGGTGTAGTTGTCTTTTTTCTTCTCAAAGACCTTGACCATATCATTCACTTTGACCTCTGGATATTTGCGAGTGTTCTTTTCCCTCCTTGTCAAATTCACCCTGACGTCCATATGGTTCTTGTCGTCGTGGGCATCCTTGGGTTTCATTTTTGTAGATGAATGGACGGTGTCGTTGTATTTATCCAACGCTTTGGACAACATCACAGTCCAACTACCACGATTAAACCTGACCCTATCGTGAATCATATTCTTCATTGTTCTGATGAAACGCTCCACAACATTAGCGTGTGTGAGGGTGACGACGTGAGTGATGCCTTCTTTCTCAAAAAAGTCTTTAACTCCCGCTTGGAAGGCACGGTCATTATCACTATAAACGGACATTGGAAAACCCATTTTGTTGAAACTCTCTTTCATTGCCGACAAAGTGATTGGTCCTGACTTTTCCTTCATAGGGACGACGTTAGCCAACTTGCTGAAGATGTCAATGACTACCAACCCGTATCTCGGCTCACCATTCTTGATTGGAACTTCAACCTCTGGTTCTTTGGTAAGGGGTTTCATATCCATTATGTCAATCTGATATTCAAACCTTGCGAACGGGGCGGTGTAGGAGTTTGAACCCCTGTATTTTCTAATCTGTTTGTTGGGCTGTTTCCTCATAAAGGTTTCCACATCCACCCTGTTGATGGTCGGGTCTTGTTCCTTCGCTTTTTTGAGGGTCTCATTGATTGAGCCGAAGCCCGTTTCAAGATTGTAATAGACATTGCTTATGATGTCATCTCTTGATAGTCTCCTTGCCATATATTATAATATTAGATTTTCAAAATTATCACCAATAAAAAAATATACTTAAAGAAAAAATACCTATATATAGTAAGACTAAATAAGATGACTAAATTTGACTGTGGATGTCGTATAATGAGTGAGTGTATCACCTTAAACAATGGTGATTACAAAAAACCTAGTTGGAATTATTTGTTAAAAACCTTCGTGAATGTTTGTGGGAAGTGCTACAAGAAGCAATTGAATTCCAATATATGGAAAACAAACTTATGGAGATGGAAAAGCAAAGAATGGACATGTTTTTGGAAAATGAGGATGAAGAACAAGACACATACTTTGACCCGACAGAGTTGAAGGAACATCTCAAAACCCTCCCACCTAATGAAAGACACAAAGTGAAGGATTTTGAGAGGTTAAGAAACCTTGCCAATGGACAAGACCCCAACGAAGGAATGAGTGAAATAGATATGGTCATAAGAGAACTGGAAGAGGAGGAAAGGGAAAATAAAAACGAACCCGAACCCGAAAACTGAACGAGCCCCCAAAAACTACTTAAAGAAAAAATGACTATATACAGTAAGAGGATGCTATTTACCTATAAAAACTGTGGATGTTGTAAAAAAGAAATGACTGACATTAAGGTTTTATTGAACAACATTTTTCCTGCTGGAATTTGTGATGAGATATGTGATTACAACCTTCACTGTTCAAAATGTAAAGAGTTGAATGATAAGGAACGCAGAGATATAACATTCAACTATCATTTCGACCATTTTGAAGAGAAAGAACTAACAAGAGTTGAAAAACAAATACATTTCTTTAAAACACGGATGGAAAAATCACCTATCTATTTATCCAACACCGACCGAACAAATTTAAGAGTAATGAAGAGAGAAATAGATGCTTTATTGGACACCTATAAACTGAAGGTAGAATTTCAAAAGGATAAGATATATCTTCAAGCGATTAAGTCTTATGTCAAAAACCATTGGAAATACACTTATCATATTCTAAAGAACTTTCACGACCTTAATTTCATCAATTACAGTAAGCAACGAAGATGCTGGTGGTTTCCTAATGTTGAACGAACTTTTATGTTTAGAAACAGGGAGTTCAAGATAAAAAAACATTTTGGAAATTTTCTTGCGTGAATATGTTGAAGAACTGTTCAACGGTTATGAGAAATATTTGAACATAGAAGAAATAAAAGAGCACCTACAAAAAGTGATAAATACTTAAAGAAAAAATATCTATATATAGTAAGAGAAAATGAGTAGAGCAAAAATTGAGGTTATAGATACAGGGAATATTGGTATATATGCTGACTTTGGTAGTGATAGTGAGGACGATGATTGGGAAAGAAAACAAATAGAAAAAGAAGATGAAGAGATCAGAGACTTTGTAAAGTGCCATCCTATGCCTTCACCAGATGATGAGGAAGGAGAAAAGTTTTGGAAGAAAGTAATTGATAGGATGAAAGAAGCAGAAGGAGTAAATGGAATGATAATATATTCATTCGTAAGATTTGATATAATGAAAAAGATGTATGAAAACCTCACTGATAAAAAGTCATCATTGATTGTGGAAAGGAACTCAACCGAGATGGAGAATTCAACGCTATGATTATCAACCTAACGCTTTTATCAATAGCAATGGATGAACTAAATGATACAAACAAACCTTGCTTAACACAAATGAGAGTGATTGAACACTGGTGGGATGGAATAGGAAAGTGGAAAGCATAAATGATTAATTCATAATATCTTAACAACACATATTATGAAGTAATCACCCACCCAAACACAAACAAAAACCCCAACAGCCTAAACAAATCCTACCCCCCTTCAATCCAAACATTGACACATCACTTTAGCAACAAAATTACCCCCAAAACCCCACCTGAAAAAACATCAAAGGCGAAGATGAAACATTGAACCCCAACACAAAATCATAACAAGCAACATACAAACATATACGCCCTGAAACCCCCATTTTTCCATTTTTTTTGGGAGTTAGTTGGGAGTTACTATACTTGTTTGTTTCAAGTTGTTGTGATCCACCTAGCTTTCGACATTTTTCATGGGTGATCGGGTGATTTTTTTGTTGTGACCATAAGGATGACCACAACTCTGACACTGTCCAGCATCTAGGATGAGAAGAATGCTGGAGACAGACCTGGAGTAAGTTCCAAAGAAGCCGTGGCAGCTGACTGGTCCCAAGGTGCTATGCGCCGTTTTAGGGGGACATTTGTGGTTCAAACATGCTCATGAAGCACTATGAAACATGATGAAAGATCGTTGGTGCTTTATCACCATTTTGTCCAAGAGAACTTGTTCTCCTCAATGTTAAGACATCAGAAAGGATAAGGAAGTCATGTCCCTACTTGAATCCTGTGAAGGCAAAGTCCTCTTGGGCACCATGGCTGGACGCCTGCTTTTGTGGGATCTCCTCTCCGGCAAGATCTTGAGAGTCTTCCGCGGCCATCGCAGTTGCATTGAAGCTTCGTTTGAGCTAAGTGGCAGCCACCTTAGCAAATCCTATGTGTTTCAACAGCTGTTCCAAACCTGGTGGATTTTGCGAGTGTTTCCACGCAAAGTATGGGATACATGGGTCCCGACCACATGTTGCAGTCGTCGGATGATGATGATGATGATGATTACGAGTTTTCTTATTATTCAAAATATTTCTTCCTATCGCCATCATCACTACTACTACTACTATTATTATTATTATTAATGATTATTGTTATTATTGTTATTATTATATATTATTATTACAATTATGTATCATAATTATTATCGCTATTACGCAATGATATCATTATCACTATTATTGCTACTGTTTGTTATTATTCTTGTTATTGTTACTTATTATTGTCGTTATTATCATTATCATTAAATATCATTATTGTATATTATATAATTATATCATTATTACTACCGTGATATTTTTCATTATTATATATCATTATCACCATTATCAGCATGAATATTATGATTTTTCTTTATTTTCAATCAGCGTTTGGCTTCTTTGGATTGGATCAAGGTCGTTTTACCAAACGCCGCCTGCTTAGGACGTGGTGAGAGTTTGCTGGCAGCGATCTGAAGCCTTGAGCGCCTGCCGTGATCGTGTCATCCGCTTCTGGAAGATGGAGACAGGGGAGCCTCTTGGATTTTGGTGAAGTGGTCGGCAAAGCTTTGAGGAATATGGAGCTTTCATGAGGTTTCCTGAAATGGGGGGATCCCGAAAACCCATGGCAAAATGATGTTCAAATGTGGATGATTTGGAGCATCCTTATTTTTAGGAAACCTCCATATGAAGATGAATTTGGATACTATGAATGACTGATATTGAAATGGTAGTCCTATCTGATAGTCACTATTTAGTCCCTTGCCTGGTGCGCCTTAGGTGTAGCCTGTTGCGTGGTCACACCAGTTCTGTTTGCTGCTTGCTGGTGAACTGGGAGCTAAGGCTGAGGGCCCTTTGGGCCGGCTTGGGTTATGCAGCCAATAATGGGGCAATGGATGGCAATACTCAAATTATGAACATGGCAATATATGGCAGTGTGTCAAAACCAATAGTACCCCTGTAGTTCACATCAAAATAGCTGGGATTTATGGATGTTCATCCCACTAAAAATGGTATGTATAGGTATTGATCCATACCCATATGGCAATCATATGGCAATCATGGTCCAATGGTCAATGCCGACGAGTGCAGGCGAGCCATGAGCGCTGGATTGATGGACGGCCTTCGCTTGTGGACTTTGGAGTCACGGCAATCCGTTGAGGCTTGGGCGAAGGCGTAGCAGTTCAAGTTCAATCCCAGTGGCTTCCAATGACGGCAAAAATCATCAAGAATCCTGATGCCATGGTGAACATCTCAAAAGCTCGCAAGCAGATTGCACAGTCTTCAATTTTGAGGTCTTCAATTTGACCCATTTGACCCATTTGACCAAGTGGCCTGCACTAAACTTAAGTTGAGATGAATCCAACAGTCCAATACCAGCCACAGAAATCTTATTCCTTGAATGGGGGATGAACTACTGCAGTGGGAACGGTAGCAGAATGGACAGATGTCAAGTTTCCGCGGATCACGACATGTACAGCTCACTGCACACTGAGAGGTGAGCCGGCTGCAGATGGGAGAAATGGGCAGGATTTTTTGCTGCGACATTGATTGGAAGAATGAAAAGGCCACCTGGATGCAGTTGTGTGCACCTGGAGACAGCCAGACAGCCAAATCACCTTAGTTGGGTCATTCAGCATCATTTACTGTAGCGACATTTGTAAGAATGACTCAAAGTTGATCAGTCGCGTTGGCTTTGGCGCCAGCAAGGCCATCACTGGATCAGGAGCCTGCAGCTTCCGGGTCCTTGGAACTAGCGGGGGCAATGAAGGTTGCGGCACTTCAGAGATTTTTGTTGTTACCACCATAAATTCTGCCTGGCAAGTTGGCATGAGAGGACTTGGTGTTCTAACGCTTTGGGACCTCAACCTGCTGATGAAGGCCAGTCACTACTCAAAGCTGCTGCAGCTTGTCCAATACTTCCAGCCATCAGCCATCCATGTTTAGGTTTGTTTTTCAGGCTGTTTTGGCTGTTGTGGATCCTCTTGCGCATGCAAGATGGGCGCAGGATTTTCTAGTGATCTTAAGCAACAGCTGCTTGGAGAGATCCATCAAGTTGGGCAACAGTTGGGCAACAGATGTTTGTGCAACATTGGATTGGTGTTGCCAGATCGTCTGGCGGAACGATTCCCACGGACATGATGTTTATGCCGTGAAGCCGGCGAATTGACAAGAAGTTTTGCTCGGACACATGGGACACATGGTCGCTTCTTGCCTTTTGCCTTTGGTTCACCATGAAAGCGGGCTGTCAGATTTTACTCGTACATTGGTTGGCGTGTCTACCTTTTTGCCTGGCAGAACATCTGAGACACATGAGCAGAGTTCATCACCCCTGTTGGTTGATGAGTACCTCGGGGATTATACTATTATAATCTATTATACTACTACCCTGTAGATATTTGGGGAAATCAATGATTCAATGATTCTCAATGATTCTCATAATCCATGATGGGAACATATGGGAACATATCAATCAGTATGGAATAACAGGTCTCCTTTGAGCCTGGATCGATGCGCTGCCTGAGTGCTGGCGAGTTTTCGGCCTCTTGGTGCAGCCTTGGAATGGAAGGGTGTACTGTACGGCTTCTCCATGGCTTCTCACATGGCTTCTCCATGGCTCTTTCTATCAGAAACAGCTGAACTTTACAAAGCGCCTGCAAGACAGCTGGAACAAAATGGTTTGATTCGTGAAAACATGTGAAAACATGTGAAAACTAGTAAGTATTCCTGAATATTCCGAACATTCCACGGGAGTATGCGACCAACAAGAATGGCTATACGAACGGGGTCAGATTTTTGGCCACTTGGCTCAGCCACTGTCCTCGAGCCCTAAGCGTGGAGCTCTAAGCCTAAGGTCTGTATTTGGGTCCCGTGGCATGTTTGACCCTGTGGAGTTCAGATCCTGTCAAGGTGCTCTAGATTTCAGAGCGGTACACACTTTACCAAGACATGATCAAGAGCACCATGACAGGATCAGATGGGCGCATTGCAGTGTCGAATTGAAGGACGTGCTTTTAGCTGCTTTTAAAGTTTTTTTTTTTTAATATCGATCCTTCATGACGTGCATGGTTTCGATTCATATTTCAAAAGCACTGCGTTGTACATTCCATATATTTATTCAGAAACTATGCTGGTGTGATTTGTACGTAGTGACTTTTGCATTTTGCGGTTTGACTTTTGCTTTACAACACATTACATGACATGTCGTTGAGTCGTTGAGGTGATTTCTATCTGGGGACACGCAAGGGTTTTGGATGAAGCCCTGCAGGAGCCTTTGGACAAGCAAGTCTGGTACTGGACCGGAGCTGGGGCTCCGGAGACGTTTGATAGTTGAATTTTGATTATCTTATAATCAGCTAATCACCATGAAAACTTAAAAAGCAATATCAGGATATATCAGGTTTATCATCATTTGAAATACAGGTATTACCAATGGTTATAAACATGTATTATTATGATACTATTTTGATCGATCGAGCTGTCCTGATTTTGCACATGGAGTGGTTCTGTATGTATTGCAAAAGAGTTAGAACCTGATGATCACCATGAATTCATTTGTATAGCTAACATGAGTGCATGACATTTGTGAGCAGCTTCCTTATTATGGAACATGCTTAAGCACACACTTTGGTTTGACATTCAGAACAATGGATAGCTTCACAGGGAACTTGACAGTGACCGTGGCAGGAATGGAAGAGCCTTTGGCTTCTGTGTGCTTCAGACGCAGCACGCGACTCAGTCACCACAGCGGGCAGCTTTTCAATCACCAACCGTTTCCATTCACATGTTCACGCAAAGGTCATGTCAGAACTGAAAGGTGACTGGTTCATTTGCCTCCAGTTCGAAGCAACAAGGTTTACCTTTACGACATACCTGACAAAGACACCAAGCCGGAGACTGGATTCAAGGCGAGGGGAAACCAAGAGTTGTTGAACGCGGTGGAACTTTTTGCGCCCATCTCCCAGCTTGGCACACTGCTTCAGGCCAAGATGAATTGCCAACTCAAAGATGAACGAAAAGGGGCCCACCAGACTGTTTCACTGAGCTGTTTGGCAGTGGAATGGCCTGATGCCGTTTATCTATAGCTTGCGAACTGTGGCAACTCCTTCAGCATCTGAAAAATGATCGAATCGTTGGACCTGATTGGCCGCCAAAACTGGGCGTGCCAGTCCACTGGCTTCATTTGTGCTTCAAGCCAAAAAGCGACAAAAGCTGGACGAAGGATTGCCAGGAACCCCACTGATCACCAAATTTGACCTTTTTTCCGTTGGCACATCCACAAGTTCCATGGCAAGTCATAGTCACCCCACCCGTGTGGTGTGGGTTCTCCAACCGCAGTCTCCAAATTACGCAGGCTGGCGAACTCACATTGCCCGCGCTGGGAGATCAGGTGAGATGGAGGAGAAGTGGATAAAGTGTCAGCACCTTGCCATGTAGGTCCTGAACCCTTTGGTGCTGAGCCAGTAATACTAAAGTTACAAACGACAACGTTAAGCAAGTTCAGATGCATCGAGAAGGTAAGCTGATGAAGAAAGTAAAGCCATCACCGTATTGCAAGCAAAGAGATTGGAAGCTTCTGTGCTTCAAACTCAGTTGCTGATTATCAGGTGGCCAGGCTCTCTGAGAAGATTGAAGCTCACTCAGATGCTCTGGCACAGGCGGAGATTTGTGGGCAAATCAGGTGACTGGTGACTGTGACAACCACCATTTACAGAAGGCCAGCAATTTGTTGCAAGTTGCTGGCAGGTTCGCAAGGTTTTAGAGCTGCAGCTGCTACAACAGCATCAACAACAGCAACAGCAGCAGGAGCAGCAGCAGCAGCAGCAGCAGCAGCAGCAGGAGCAGGAGCAGGAGCAGGAGCAGGAGCAGGAGCGACAGCAGCAGGAGAAAAGGCACTTGCAGGAGCGACAGAGCGTTGAATCGATCTGTCACTTGGAACCTGATGGAACGGCCTCGAACAGCTGATTTGACATAAAGCGTCCTATCTTTGACCCCTGTTCTCACGTGAAGAGGGTTGCACCCGGCTGTGAACGTGTCTTCCCACCTGAGGAGGTGAAAAGACCGTATCCTCGGCCAAGGGGGACAATTCAAGACGAGGAGAGCTTCAAGTCTCAGTCGAAGAAACGCGTATCCGAACCACTGTAGTAGGGATACTATAGTTACATTATATCATACCTCAATCTTCATACCATCCTGATCATTGTGTTATAGTAAATCACCTAATATATAATATTAATTATATATAATATATAATTGTGCTATATTATGTGTATATATATATATACAGATTCTTACACACACACACACACATGAATCCAACATATGCATACAATGATGTACATGAAGTGCACAGGCGGCTTTCCGGCTTGTGTTCACGATTGAGAATTAATCAGACTCTCGATGGTAGGAAGTTTCAGATAGCTGAAATCAAGTGACATTGCTCAATCTCCAATCATCTCCAATCTGTCCGATTGCAGATGCGTATCCTAGCCGAGTGCATTGCTTCAGCAGAGGTCAGGTACACGGATTTTGTTGCCAGGATATGAGGGGAGTAAACAGTCACTTAACGCCAACAGCTCCAGAACGTTTGTTGATTCAACGATGTCTGGACGTCCTCACAGGTTGGAGTGTTGTTGCCAGCTATTATGCCGGTTGAATTTCAAAATACATTGCGAAGAGAAGGCAGCTGGTGGCCACTGTAAACTGCTGCCATGCTTGGATTTCCATGATATCCGCCCAAGAGCCGTGCTATAGGGAATTTGATTGTTCCAGATTGTTCCAGGTTATGGAGACCATGGACTGATGCATTTCGTTTACTATTCCATCCATTTTCCGAAAGTGCTGGCTGGAATAGGTATTTGGATGTATTTGGATGTATTTGGTAGATGAACTGGCTGCTCCTAAGCCTGCCTCAGCACGGGGGCAGGGCGCAATTTTCCACTTGGCTCCAAAGCTGTTGAAAGCAGCTGCCAGGGGCCTCAGGCTGAACGGATCTTACTGGACACTGACGCGCTCTGACTTCATCTATGAAACACTTTGTTCGGATTCTTGAATTGACACATGAGCGTATTCATATGTATTCATGACTTCTCCATGCAGAGGTGTAAATTGATTAGCTTTCTTCCCTGTCAACGCCCCCCTTTAGACCTGCTGTGTCAAACTGTCGGCTTGGTGCATTGGCCCCACTGGGCCTCCCTGGGCCGCACGGCAGCGCAAGGAAGCGGCACAAAGCAAACCAGAAATATTGCAAGCTGCGGAGTCCCTGCAAGCTGCAGTGGGACACGGTGCCGCATGCGTCTTGGATGCAGCCCATGCAGTGCCACCCTGAGTCTCTGCTGGATTGGCAAGTGCGACAGAAGTCTATGCATGACAGTAACGCATCACATGACCCAAACACGCGACAACAGTCTATGAATGTTCCCTGTTTTTGCCGCTAATTGGGATTAAAGGGTTGCTTTATTTTATTCCGGTGTAGCAACATGTGAGATGAAGCGAGATGCAAAGTCAAAGTACTGCTCCTGGTTGCTGAGGTCGCGACGTTCTGAACCTTTGGCAAAGCTTTCCATGGGGGTCTGATTTAACAAGCCTTGAGATGAAACACAACGATTAGCCATGGTTGTATTGGTCGTGTTCCACTTCAAATCATGCAGCCAAATTGTACTGCGGAGCGGCTGAGTGCTGGAATATCTTTGAATTCAGTTCTTTGTCAGGTATTCCTTTCAGCCTGCCGACCTTCACTGCCAAAGTTGCATTGATTGATTGTACGAAGGACCCAAGAGAAT